CTTTGTTGCAGTTTTTCTCGTGAAGACACGGGGTTTTTTGGGAGAAGGGGCGAATCCAAGTCCAAAGGAAAAAGAGCAGTTCACCTTGAAAATCTCACTTGCATGCAAAGCAGGGGCTTGGGGAGTGCCGGTCCTTTCTAGCAGAAGTTTCCCCGCTGGGAAACCCGCTGTATTCTTCGCCTGCCTGCAAACTAAGGATACTGTGGAAGGTTTCTTTTTCCTTTGCTGCCTTGCTTTTCCGTTAGACATGTAAAACGTTACTATTTCTCCCCTGAGGGGTTGGATCTGTAGAAGTCATTCAAAAAAAGGCAAGCTGCATCTCAAAAGAGCTCCCCTACCGGAATGAGAGGCTGGTGGGGATGGCGAAGGAGTGTGCGGGATGCGTGGGCTCTCCCCAGACGACACGGGGAAACCCACTTCCCGGGGGCACCCGAGCCAGCACGTCCCGGCTCCCCTGACTAACCGTGTCTCCCGGGGCTGGTCCTGTGAAAATAGCAGCTCCAGATGGGAATCCTTCTTCATGTCACTCCTTGCTATAATCCACCTCTTATAATAAGAGGCCAAAGCAGTGAGAAAAGGCTAAAATCAGGTTTTCCCCATCTTTTCTTCTTTGGGAGGTTTTTTGGAGAGAAAAGGAGGAAGAGAGGCAGCGGTCAGTCCTGCTCTGCCCTTCTTTGGGGAATGGCTGTTTATACTATTATGTTTGAGAAGCTCTTAGACTGATAAACTGGTTCAAATTATTTCCTAGTGTAAAGCCTTTGAAGCCAGTGGTGTTAAATTAAAAATCTCTTTAGCCATATGTGTGAATACAAGAGACTGTTTGCATATATTTTTGCGTGGATTTGATATCTGAGGTTTTCCAGAATGTTTGTTGTTTTACATATAGTTAAAATCGTACCTCACAGAAAAAGGAAGCCATGTGAACAGTGCAGAGTGGGGACTAAACACAGGCAATGAACGACCACGGCAAGCAGTGAGGATATCCTCACAGATTCCCTGAGATTCACTGCATTTCTGCTTTCATAAGCAAATACTCACCTTTTCTCTTCCAGGAGTCACTTGTCACTGGCATAGGTAACTGCCATTTAAAGCAGCAGGATCTTACTTAAACTCTTACTTCAAGGAAATGCAGGCATCAGCAGTGACTTCACCATACACAGACTGCACATGCTTCCTCATCTTTGTTATCTTTCTCTCTCTCTACAGTCCTTTCTCTGAAGCATTTACCTGCTCCTCTTCTCCTCCCACCTCCTGGCACAACCTAGACTGACTGTGACTCATTTAAAATACTCTACAGCAAAGCTACCCAGTGAGATTATTATTTGATATTATTATTTTCATTATCATCTCTGGTGGAACAAGCTTTTCTGGGGAAATAAATCTCAAATTTCAAATGCTCCTGTAGATTAGATAATGTGAACTAAGCCTGCTTTAGCATTAAAGGTCTTTTCCTTCTTTTTTTCCTCCTCTAGGTACTAAGGATGCTGAGGTGTAAGCACTTCTGTGTCTCAACTGCAATCAACTGCCTTCCAAAAGGATGTTTTGATTAATGAGGTGCAGAACATCTCAAACTGATGCAGCTTCTCAAATACAGTCCCTAATGTTCCCGGAGAATGACAGAGCAATAAAGGACGTGCTCAAGGAATCAAGCTGTTCATCTTCTTTCAGCTATAGGTATCCTAGCCGGCTCTTGGAAAATACCCACGCTCTTTATTTCCCGGACTTTCTGGGAATTAATCTCTGAGTGCTACCTTATTTGATGACACAAATGATATTTTCTTAAAACCTCAAGGTGGGGAAAGACCACAACAAAGAATCCAAGCAGCAGAATGCTCCTTTGTCACTTCAATAGCTACAAAAAAGACTATCAGGTGCAAAGACTGAGTCAGGGCTGATTGGTGCACTGGCGTGCCGTTACAGAGGCATGCAGACTACCCTGTGCCTAGACCCCGGGCTACCACTCCCCCACCCACCAAGTCTCCAGTACTGTATAGGATGCATATGTTTCCTCCACAGATATAGAAAAGGTTTTTTTTATTATTATTTTTGCTTTGGGCCTGCGTTTTGTTGCCTTTATAACTATAAAGCATTAAGCTTCACTTTAGTAAAACAACTATTTTGAGCACATCATTTCAGCAAATAGTGTAGTTTCATTTTGAAAAAAAAGAAAAATGCTTAACCTGAAATGAGAATGTAAGTGCTTCATCAAATCTAGGGCTTGTTTAGCATGACGCAGATAGTCCAGCGTGCTAAAGACCAGAATGTGCAGTTCTGTGCAGCTCTGTCTCAGAGTATGGGTTCCTAAATGCTTTTGAAAACTTGCCTTCAGGAGTCCTAGGTACCAAACTCAGAAGAAGTTTTAAAATCCTTACAATGTGATGACAATTTTTTATCCAAGGAACTTCAAAATAATGATATTTTATTTGAGAGCCTTCTAAGAACTAAGTGCAGGAAGCTGGGAATTATCCTTGTCTAATGGTATGAAATGACTATCACAGACATTACTTATTATTAATATTATGGCAATGCTTTCCATGACAGCAAATGGGCCTCTACAGGCACATTTTTAGAACATTTCAGAAAAGCTACGACTGTTGGAGGCCTCAGCCTTGCCTATCATGGACGGCATAGTACATTCAAAGGGGGTATAGAGAACCCATCTGTCAGGGAAAAGGAGAACTATTTTTGAGAGAAATGATTTCTTTTTTACTATTTGTTAGACACTGCTCCAACATTTGGCATAGATGCAGAGCAAATGGATTTAGCAGGGAGAATGCAGGTGAAGCAGCCAAAGATTCATTTGTTTATTAAGGGTTTTTGCCAACTAGTCACAGAGACAGCACCTCTGTGTGTGTGTGTATATATATATATATATACATATATATATATATATATATGTAATGCTCTTTTAATAAAAGTTCAGAGCTGCTATGCAAATGTAAAAAATCACAATCCTAATGAGCTCAGGACTCTGGAAGAATAGACTGAGAGCCATGAAAACTGATCTCCTCTAGCTTAAGGTACAGGAAGCAGCAGTTCAAGCTTTCCGTACGCTGGCCTGTTAGGACCACCTTTGTTTGCTTGAGAATTTCATAGCCATCATCCTTGAACCCTTGGATTCTCAGATAATAAAGGAGTCAATAAACACATGGTATAGATTGGAGGAACTGGAGCAAGTCCCTTCAAAGCTGCATATTGTTCCTAGCAGGCAGCTACAAACCCATAATTGGCATTTAAAATCCATGACATATTAAACACTACAAAACAGGGAAATTCTGTCTCAGGGTTTTAGTGATAGAGACTTCACTCTCTGCCTTTGCAGCTCATATCATACCTAGAAGATAATAAAGAAATAATCACCATAAACGCATAAATCCTATCTCTCCCTCACCCCTGTTAACTAAACGAGCATGCTGTCACACTTACATTTGTTGAAATTCAGCCAGTGCTTTCAATTGCTCTAAGATGATCATTATAGAAACTGTAAGGTGGGGGATCAGACAGCTGCAGCATAGATTGAAACTTATTTTAGGCACAGAGATGAGGACACCTGAGCATCTGGCCAGGGTGAAAGAAACTGCTGTGCAGTGGGAAGTGAGATCCATGCTAGGATGTTGGACCCTAGGGAATCATTCCAGAGGGCGAGGGGAAGAGTTTCACAGAGCTGGAAGTCAAGATGGA